ATAGTATTACTTAGTAGAAAGAGAAAGATCTGAAATTGCCTCATTGTATGAATCCTCTCTTTAAATTAATATTACTAAATTTATGTTAAAGACCATCATGTTATAAAAATAAAAACATATAATCAGACCATTTATTCCTAGGTTGTATTAAGAAATACCTTTTATTTTTTTGACAATAAATACTTATCGTGTTATCTTTTATTTTTTTTTACAAGAAAAATATGATACTTGTTGATTATCTTCTTCTTTTTTTTTGACAAAAGAAGAAGATGTTGTACTACATTTTTTTTTGCTTGTTGTATTACTTTTTATTTTATTTTACAAGAAAAATAAAAAAATGATGCTGCCAAAGTACATTTTATTTTTTTATTCCCTTTGTTTTATTTTTTTGCAATAAATACTTGTTATATTACTTTATATTTTTTTTACAAGAAAAATAAAAAAATATTGTATTATCTTTTTTATCTTTATCTTGAAAAGCCTTTTATTTTTTATTTTTTCTATTTTGTTATGACAAAAGAAAATTTGACAACAAAAAACGAGGATTCACGCGCTAAGGGGTTCAAACTCTAGACCTCCCCTTTAAAATCAGAGACGTCAACCAACACCACCACATCGCCTTATGTGAATATATTAGCTTCTATAATAATATATATTCAATCATCTTGCTTTAATGTTTTTTGTGGGAATTATCCCACATCGAAGGATGAGCGTTGTTTTGTTCTCTATATATGCATGTGTAATAGATATTACCTTGTGCGTGTAGAAAGCGATGGGGCCGACATGTGAGGTGAGTTACCACGTGTGGAGGTTTTTTAAGTGTCACGTGTTGCTCCCCGTGAGGCGGCCACGTGTAAGAAGACTCGCGATTCACTATTGGGAATCGCCCGGTTCTCTCTGGACACGGGCGATTCCTGGTTTTTTCGTGGAACCGGCTCGGTTGCAGACCATTCCCGAGTTGAGCCGGCTCGGCTCGGCGAGTTTTCAAACCCTGATTTATACTGCATTGGTACATTTATTAGTAAAAAAATGAAAATAGATTGCATAAATATAGTGAAGTGGCAAGGGTTGAAAATAGATTACATAAATATAGTGAAGCGACGAGGGCTGGAAAATCTTTTACCCTCGTGATGGTAATGCGTTTAAAAAACAATTTTCTTGTTTTTATGTGTACATCCTCTTCTCCCTCTCAAGCTCCCGTTTTCCCTCTCAACATGACAAGCCTACA